TTCCGATCTTTGTGCTTATAAATCTGTTCTGGCTGATGGGTAATTGAGGGGAATCACTGGTTTTCTGATCAGAGATGGGGAAGAACTTTTGATTCGTGTTAATTTGATCTAACAATCGAGTAAAGGGCAAAACTTGATATCTCTATATAGAATCATATGCATGTCGTCTACTTCTTCTAAAACCTTGGATGAATAATGTCTCGGATCATGAACTAAGAAGCTTTATGTTGGTAAAAATCTTTACTTTGAGCAATTGCTGTGTGGTAATTTTCTCCTTTGTTGTTCATATGCAGACATACCCCAATCCATTACAAGACAATCCAGCATATTCTGTGGTCAAGTAAAAGTCTTGTTACCAATCTCAGTTTTGCTTCCAGTGACCATTCATCAGCTGCAGTTCTCTTACATGATCTCTTCTTTCCCTTTTTTCTCAGGCAATACTTTGTTGATGCAGATGACACTGTTCCTCAGAAGGTCAGTTCACTCCACTTCACTTATGGTTGCTTCTTTTTCACTGTTCTTGTAATAATTCACCTCATGTTTTCTTGTTGTATAGGTCGTTGTCCACCGTGATAGTCCAAGAGGAATCCATTTCCGACGAGCCGGGCCTCGTCAGAAGGTAAATTCCTTTTCCAGTTTCCTTGTTATACAGATTGCTTCCCTCTCCATGTTGTGGATCATCCATGGCTGTGTGTATATATGTGTGTGTATATATATCTGCAGGTATACTTTGAATCTGATGAAGTGCATGCTTGTATTGTTACCTGTGGGGGTCTGTGCCCTGGCCTCAACACTGTGATTAGAGAAATAGTTTGTGGATTATCGTACATGTATGGTGTCAAGAAGATTCTTGGAATTGATGTGAGCTTTTTTCCCTCCCTTGTGATCATTGTTCCTTAATCACAGTTTCATTCCCTTCCCTTCTTCACACCATTGAGACTTTGCAGGGTGGATACAGGGGATTTTATGCGAAGAACACTGTCCCCTTGAACTCGAAATTCGTCAACGATATCCATAAGAGAGGAGGGACAATCCTCGGGACCTCACGAGGCGGTCACGATACCAATAAGATAGTCGACAGCATTCAGGATCGGGGAATTAATCAGGTTTTCCGAGGATTGTAGTCTCTTCTCACGACGTTTGTTTACTGAAAGTAGGGTTGGATATTTCGATTTTCGGCTCGGGTTAGGTTCTTCCGGTTTTAGAAAACCTATATCTGTTCGGGGTAGTTTTTAATGATAACGATGCTCATTTTCTAAAGAAAGTTGCGGTTTTTTGGATTATTTCTGTATCCGTTTCGGGCTCGGTTCAGTTATGTATTATTCAGTTTGGATCTGTTCCGTTTATGCATGTCCGAACCGAGCGGCGCCCGTCCCTATCTGAAAGTATATAAGCATGTTCTTGATGTTGTTTCGGTTATTGTCCAGGTTTACATTATCGGAGGAGATGGAACACAGCGAGGAGCATCGGTAATATTCGAGGTAACACCATCTGATATATTCTGAAAATCTCCGGCTAAAACGATCAGAAACTGTGCTTAAATATCGTCGATCATGTAGGAAGTTAGAAGACGTGGACTGAAAGTCGCGGTAGTCGGAATCCCAAAAACGATCGACAATGACATACCGGTATGATTTTCTTGTTCTTCCTTTTGACACTGACCCCACACGACATAGGCATCTGTCTTATAAACAAGGGGATTATCCGAAAATTCTTGCAGGTGATAGATAAATCTTTCGGGTTTGACACTGCCGTGGAGGAAGCTCAACGTGCTATTAACGCAGCACACGTCGAATCCGAGAGTTTCGAGAACGGTATCGGCCTTGTGAAGCTCATGGGTCGTTACAGCGGTAAACTGTTTACATCCTCTACTTCGTCGCCTCATCATCGTCTTTTTTTCTGTAACCGTCTTCGGGCTTCGGGAGATATTGTTGCTAATAGGGGGCCATTTCGGATTTGAGGTCGGGGTCGGTGTTTTGGTTTTACAAAAACTATAACCATTCGATTCTTAAAATTGAATTCGGTTCGGGCTCGGTATTTATTGATAAAAATATTCATTTTTAAAAGAACTTTTTAGTTTTGCATTAAATTTTTATTCAGTTCGCGTTTGGTTTCTTCGATTTTTAGAGGAATCATAACCATGCGGTTTTTATATCGGATTCGACTCGTTTATAATGTGTTAGTCAATTTGGATTGGATCGGTCATTCGGTTATTAACCAGGTTGGTGGTGTATTGTGTATCGATGGAACAGGGTTCATAGCGATGTATGCTACACTTGCAAGCCGAGATGTGGACTGCTGCCTGATTCCGGAGTCGCCATTTTACCTCGAAGGAGAGGGCGGACTGTTTGAATTCATAGAGAGACGGCTAAAGGAGAACGGTCATATGGTGATCGTCATCGCCGAAGGGGCCGGGCAGGAGTTGATGATGGAATCTTCGAACCTCGAGGATGCCTCCGGAAACAAGCTCCTTAAAGATGTCGGCCTCTGGATATCGCAGAGCATCAAGGTAAACGACTTCCCGGTTCGGGTTTCATCTCCGATTTTTCGTTTTCGTTTTTCGGAATTTTACTCGGCGGATTCACGTTTTGTTTTGATTATAGGATCATTTTTCGAGGAAGAAGACGACGATCAACCTCAAATACATAGGTGAGAGAATCATATCCTTTTCGCAGTCAATAGTTTTAGGATTAAGCTGGTGAATGACAGTTGATATCGGAGTATTTGGGTTATAGATCCGACATACATGATCCGGGCTGTTCCTGGCAATGCGTCGGACAATGTTTACTGTACATTGCTGGCTCAGAGCGCGGTGCACGGTGCCATGGCCGGATACACCGGCTTCACCAGCGGCCTCGTCAATGGCAGACAAACCTACATTCCCTTCTACGTAAGTTCCCACATCATATCATCCACCACCATCATCATCATCATCATCATCATGGGTATTATAGGGACATTACATTGGATCATGGGTACTGGGTTTGTGATGCAGAGAATAACTGAGAAACAGAACAAGGTGGTGATCACGGACAGGATGTGGGCGAGGCTGTTGTCTTCGACGAACCAGCCCAGTTTCTTGAGCCCCAAGGATGTCTCCGACGACGTGAAATCATCGCTGCCGGCGACTCAGCTTCTCGACGACAGTCACTGCAACGGCGTCGCCGATGATGTTCCTCCGGTGGAGACCAAAGAGATTGCTCAGTGAAAACAGTGGTCGAGAGAGAGAGAGAGAAATAAAAAAGGAATTGACGATTTTATCCCTCTATAGCCGAGGGAAATTCTTGCTTTTTGGAAGTCTAGTTTTGTAATTTCTAACACCATCACCTCGGTGCGGCGAGGTAAAATCCTGTACGAGGAAATCTATATTTTTCACAGAAATAAAAAGGAACGTGCGATCAAAAACTGAATTTCATAATTCATAAAGCTGTCAACACAGAGCAAAAGCGAACAAGCCACGAACGAAAGATGTACGGAAGCTGTCTGAAACTAGAGATGTTCATCAAAGCATTCTTCACTTCAGCTTCTTCCTGTTATCTCTCTACTTCTCAGAAGAGTTGGGCCCCCTCTTCTTCCCGAACCCGACAACTGCACACGAATGAGAGAGATTCAATGATCTGATGTCACCATAACCAGAAACCTAATTTCCCACGAATACAACGTTTCCAGGCAACTTACCTAACTTCCGAATTCATTCGGACACATCAAAACAACACAACACAGATCGTACTGAATTCATGGACTTCCTATCACTTAGAAAAACATCTAGCAATTCGAGTAATTAACTGATCTAGTTCACTACCATGCCCTCAAAAGTGGGAGTCTCTTTCCAAACTAAACTCGTTTCTTATAGTTTCCAGCTTCCGGGTCCATCGAATTTTCTACCTTTATGAAGAGCGAAAGAATCGAAAATGTTTACCGGCGGTGACGAATCGGCGGTTGTACTGCATGCGCTTGTGGGCGCGTCCACGTGGCTTCTTCTTCTTGTCCTGCTTCGCCACCTTGGGGGTTTGCCCCCTCACCTTTCCGGCACGAGCCAAAGAACCGTGAACTTTCCCTGTAACATCAACAACAATGTCTCGCGTTCATCAGATGGAGGGCGGATACAATGCAACGAAATCATAAATCCGTCTCGATTTCTTTAAACAATACATCATAAGTTAAGATTTCATAGAAACCCTAAAAGCTCCGAGGATTACCCATGGCGGAATTAGGTTAGTTCCTCTGAATTCGCTGCTCTCCTTCTTCCGGCTGCTGCTTCGAAGTGCTACGTCAAGCCTGGAAACATAAAAGCTAGGGTTTTTTACGGCTTTTTTTTTTTTTTTTTTAATACATACGAGTGTTGATCCCGGTAGGCGAAACTAGGTTAGGCCTTATATCTGACTTCGGGCCTCCTAAAGCCCATTAATAGACCCAATAGTCCATCTTCTTTTTCCATCCGATATGGCCTATGTTAACATGTCATTTCCATTTTTACCCTATATGAATCCCAAAATCATGCCATAGCTTAAATCGAACGGCGGAGATTATGGCTTGGTTAAATAAAATCAAATTAATTTGATTTTATTATATAAAACTGAGTTTAATATATAAATAGGATGTAAATGATACAATACAAGAAGTTTGGTTAACATAGATACTAATTCCGATACAAGAAGTTGGTTCGAATCGGACACAAAAAATCAAATATATGAATAGACATTTTTTAGAAAAAAAAAACTAAAAACTCAAACCCAAAGCCTTCAAACAACAGTGGTGGACATGGTAAATGGTAATCCCTTTGTAATTAGACAGTAAAACTCAGAATAAAGACGGGAAATTTCAAAGCAAACAAGATTGGATAAGTCATTGTCCTCCAAATAACTGCATTACCAAAAGTTACTGCAAAGGAAAACAGGAGATGATGATTACCTAAACAAAGGTATAACAAAAAACCAAAACTTCAGAGAGCTTATAACTTCAAAAGACAAAAGTCTCAAATAGCAGCCTGCTTTCACATGGGTTATACCCTTTTTTTTTTCATTCATCCTCCTCGATGACCTTGGTGCCGAGGCCGCTCAGTCCTTCAGGCGGGATTTCAGCCACGGTGACGAGAGAGTAGAACTCTTCCTTAGCGTCTTCGTCGTCGTTCCTTTTACGGGCAACGCGGACACGGATACGTCTAGGAACACTCCTGATACCCCGGCTCCATATTTGTTTGTTAAGTTTCACGTCAACCCTCACGTCCTTTGTGCCCATCGCTTTCTCGGCAAACTTCCTTATCTCCTTGATGGCATTCGGTGCCTTCTTCTTGAAGGTGCTGTTTCACATTTTCACCAGTTCTTGTTAAAAACATATATTCCAAATGGCTCATCTTGAAAGCCATTGAATAGCCTTTTAAGGTTAGAGAATTCGAGTGATGATGCAATGGGATCCCACATTCAGCATGAGGATCGAATGAATCACTGTATATGAATACAACGGATATATGGAATTTAATTTTTGAAACTGAAACACCATTCTACGCACACTTCAATGAACGTTTTGTTGAAGCTGTGATCACAGATACCTAGAAGATTGAGATAAACATTCCTAAGAATTTTCCAACAGCTATTCAGGTAACTGGAGATCTACACTTGAACCAAATAAGTTGTGAAGAGGCTTGCTTGAACATAAAATGGCATTTTGTGCACGTTTTATGGATTCCAACTACGACTCCAATTAGATAATAAACAGATAATTCCGCAATTGAGCAATTGATAAGCCAAACCAAGGAGCTAATGCAACATGACTAAAGAGCAAGCAAAGCTGCAACAGGAACTCACCAGCCATGCAAGCGCTTGTGGAGATTGACGGTGTACTCTCTGGTAACCACCTCCTCCTTTCTTCCCTTCGTCTTCTCCGACATTTTCTGTCTATTACCTCTTCAAGCTCTACCTGCGCGTTGATCAAAACCAAATCGTTAATTCTCCATAGACTTCACCACAGGAACTAACCAGATCGGCGCAGTGTTAGCTTATTCCTCTGTTTTGCGGCAGAGAAAGTGAAGGAAACCGAATGAACAACACTTTCACTTCTCCGTCTCCGATTCTCTCGGAGATCAAACACGCTATAGATGGGAAAACCGGAAACCCTCAAAGACTCAGTAGAAGGAGAGATGCGCTGAGATTACCTTCCGTCGGCTCGAGGAACGTCGAGAGAGAGACGATGGGGAAGGGGAATGGTAAGCTTATATATGAATGCGGTTGTTGATGATAGTAAAACCCTATCTATCATTTGGGCCCTAATAGGCTTTTCAGAATTTCCTTAACTTATTGGGCTGCTCTCTTAGCCCACTGAAAACCCCTTGTATGCATAAAATTTATTACACAGAAGTGGTAACAAAAAGTAATTTATTAACAGTAAAATATCTTAAAAGACATTTTTGGATAAATTATCGTAACAAACAATTTTAAGTTTTTAACACTATAAACTAATAAGTAATAACATATATTTATTTTTAAATAATAAAGTGTAAATTAAATTCAACTCTTAATACAAGGACATAATGGTTTCTTTTTTCTCCGATAAATGCTATTCTTTATGCTATTTCCAGCAACTATAATTAAGTACATTTTTCAGATATTACTCTTATATTTAAAATGGTAAAATTTAAATTTAAAATGGTACACATAATTGAAGGTGAATTGATTGGAATTTTCACCAGAGCACCAAAATACAAAGCCACTCGGTCAAAAATTAAAAAGAGGGTAAATTGGTACAGTCTCTTCTTGTAAAAGAAGATGAAACACGTACAAAAATGTCTGCATGTAAAGATGGAACAAACATTTGTAAATTGTAATCTCAGTTTTGTGGGAAGAACACATTTTTTTTTACCTGCGAGAGTATCTCCATAACCCAAAACAGGCAACAGCTAAAACAGCAACACCGACCAAAACCTGTTATCATCATCGATCCATCAAGAAGAAAACTGACTTTTAACGCACACAAAAAAAAAAAAAGTAAAAGATGATGATCTTTTCTTTTTTAACCTTAGCATCTCGGCCATGGCGACAAGACTCTGGAGAAACAAAGAGTGATGTCAGAAATCCGAAGCGTGGTTTCCTCGGCATCAGAATCACTGCAGTGTATTGCTTCTTGCAAGGGAATGGAAGGATCCTCTGTAATGCCTCTTGTGCTGATTGCGGTGCAAGTGACTCTCTTAATCTCAACCGCCCTTCCTCTTGAATCTTTACATCATTCACCACACTCAATACTTGTTAACGCCTTTCTCGAAAAATCCGGTTATATATATATAAAAGATAAGAGTCGAAAAGGGATGGGAAGGGTGAAGGGGTTTAACCGACCTTGAACGAAACGCCTAAATCACCTGCATATACCCTCGACTGGTACCCACGTAATATCCTCTCTAACCAGTAGTAGTTCTCCTGCAAAAAAAAAAAACAAGGCGGAAAACAGCTTACGTTCTGTAATAAAATACCGGGTGTCCTAAGAAATGAGAGTTTCTTTAAGCGAAAAAAAAAAGATCCTAAAACATGGTCCGATTTTGATATAATAACCTTAAAAGCAGCTTTTATTTCTTATATTTTCAAGTAAGAAACCCCTTATTATAACCCATTTACGATGTTAGTTAGTCACTTGATGAGATGTAACGCCAAGAAGGCTTGACCTGCAAGCCGTTCTCGTGAGCTCTTTGCTCGATTTCAAGGATGGTTGCTATGTCCTCCTGTGATGGGCCTTCCTCCTGGAGTCGAATTATCTCATTCAAAGCTAGATCAACCTGCAGATATGCGCCATGGCTGGGTGGATCGTAAGCAGCTCAAGGCGAAAACAAGATTATAGACAACGTGGATCGTATGGTCTTACCAGCTTAGAAGAGATTTCGGGATCACAGGAGAAATTCACACTGATGTCACCACGCACTTCAGCAGTTCTAGAAGGCTTATTTCCACCGAGAAATACCGATACCTCTGCTGAATATATCTGCTTGTAGAAAAGTCGGTTGAGTAAAGATTGGAGATCATCGAAAGCTGGGTAAAGAGGGCAGGATATCCCTGAGCTTACCTGTCCGTGCTTGAACCGGAGAAACTGGATTATCTTGGTCTCTAGAAGTTTGCTTAAAAACCCGACACGGTGGATTTCTTCTATCTATTATCCAAAATAACCAGATGAAACACATCTCGACAAACCCTTACAGTTCAGAAGATAAAGTTAATGTCACCTACCATTGTTCCATTTGTTAACTGCACAGGAAAGCATAACTGGACAGAACATTGGGCTTCCACCATTGGACTGCGAACAACTTCTCTGTGAAATTCATGCAATTATCGGTCACCATAATTTCCAAATAAATGATGCATATATATATATATATGGTGCACAAAGCAAATATTGAATGCCGTAAATTAGAGCATCATCTCTCAATCCTTGATGCCTTGGGAGCGGGGGATGGTGATTTCTCAAGTTTTGACTGTTGGAGGAACATATTCATCCGAATTCTGACAACCTCAGGTTTCGGAGATCAGTTTTGTTTATACGTCAGAGGAACGGAACTAAACAAAGATCATTATTAAGTAACTTTCTACGGCGTCGAACTCAGATCATGACCAAATTGAGATACGGCTACCTTGTTATCTTAGTCAAGATGAGAGACTACCATAAAAATGTTTTCTGCGTAGGGAAGACATAAGCAGGATACAAGAGTTCATCGTAGTATACCTGTATATATTCATCACGCAAACTAGTTGACTGCACTTGATCACGTTCCAAGTAAGCTGATTCAATCTCTGACATTATGAGAGCACGGACAATAGATATTTCACGTTCGAAGAATCCGTGAAGGCGTACCCTAGCAACCTGAAACATAACAGAATCGATGAAGGGATGGGAGGGAGAATGAAAGAGAGGGACAGAGGGAGAGGCCACCAAACCTCGAGAAGCATTGACTCTAGGGATGCCAATGTCCCTTTCTCTTTACAAGAAGAACTCATTATATAAGCCTTCAATGGGCTCACTAGGACATCTGCAGCAGCTGAGCAGGAGAAAAATGGAGGGTCCTTCTTACGTGACAATTTGAAGAATCTCTGATTCAGAGCATGTAGAAACATAGATTCTGCAAGCATATCCCTGTAATCTAGGGAAAGTGAATGGTAAGCCCTTGAGATCATCCCGGTTGAAATTGAGAACTGGTTGAGGAGGCTTTGGTATTCCACCCTACATGGAGAGAGTGTGGTCATCAATGCCATATCCAATATAATCTTGAAAGGTTTAATTTTCTGTATCACCAAATGAGGTGGACCGACTTACCAAATATTGGAGAATTAAAGGAAGCGCCATGGTAGGATCAACATTCCCAACAATCACTACAGTGAAAGTTGATGGATCCGTAAAACTACGGTTGAAATATTCACAAGCTTTCAGTGGATCAACTTTTCGGAGGTCACTTATCCGAATAGGCTGCACGTAGAAACGTGAATTACAAGCAGCTGCATATTCAGCGTGAAATATCTTGTCATAAGAGAACTTACCCTAAAGAAATAAGAATTTCCATAATTGATTTCCTTCACCCGGTTTGCAAATACAGTGTAAGGGTCCCTTTCTTGGGCACGCACTGCTTCTTCTGCCATTTGCATCACTATTCTAACCTCTTCTTCTTGGGGTATTACATTTGTAGTAAAAAGTTGATAAACAAGCTGGTAAGAAATGTAATCAAGATAGAACTTTTAGGTAAAGATAATACCACTTGATACAAGGGCACTCAAATGTTATAAAAGGACAAGGAAAGAACAACGAAAATTTAATAGATGTACAAATTTTTTTTTTTTTGAAGGTGATATGTTCAGGTTTGATGTTATCAGATAGATGAAACTTGAGGAGGTTAATCATCAACAGGAAAAATTATTCATCATTCAAAGGTTAACAGAGACAAAATTACTGAAAGACTCTACCTTGTGTCAGACTAAATGACTTCTAGAGAAGGGTTAATCTTTTAAGAATAGGCAGAGAGACAAACCTGTAAAGCAGTTTCAAGGTCTGTAGGTGAACAATCACAAGAAAAAGTTCTCATATATGCCCCGAGCTTTGTGCCAACTTCAACTCTCTTACCAGCAAGCATGTCCATAAGCACCGATGGGCTGTATCCAAATATACCAATTTCACCAGCAATCGTTGATCCCATTGAACAGGAAATATATTCGCTCTCAGGGAGTTCGGATAATCCTCCATATGAGAACCCTGTGAAAAGGACCTGTCAAACAGAAGAAAAAAAAACAACAAAAAAATACAGGAGACTCATTAAATCACGTGAATTTTTAGGTAGAAGCAGAAGAAACAGAGAAAAGTCACTGCCACTATACATGGTGGAGTCACACCTATATGGAGACACTATTAAAGCTTCAGGTAAAAAATAGTGCACCTGATCATCAAAGTAGTCAGTGCACTTATAGCAAACTCGCATTCCATTTGATAATGTCAATTCTGTAACCCCAACATCAGGATATTCAAGCTGGTGAATGATATTCCTGCATTAAATATGTACAAAGACTGAGACTATCATATCAAAATCACATGTGCGTAACTGCGTTCTACCCACTTTTAGTCTCACAAGAATTGCCATTTATTCGAGTAAAAGACTTTCAAGAGCATCAACATATTACCTCTAGACTAGTCAGCGGCTCCGATAAACAGAAATTACCAACAGCATATTGTATACATGCATAAATACTGAAAAGCTATACTGACAGCCCAAAGAATCTTTAAAAAAAGCTGAAAGTGAAGAACTTTCCGAGGGATATATGGGTGAACTTTTTCTAATCATTATTAACAAACAGATGGTTCAAAGCTTACCCAGGATCAGGCTTCACACTGATGATTTCTTCTGGGATGTGTTCATCATCCCATGGAGCAATCTTCTTTTCTTCTTCAAGTCTATTGATATTTGCAACAGTATTTCTCAGATCATCTATTGTCGCAGAAGATCTAGGTTCAATTGTCTTTATGACACAACCACATGAAGTTTTTAACTTCTCAGCGTACTTGGACACATCTGACGCCAAAATTTCTGGAAGACACAGGAACTGTGGTTACTTATAGATTTTATATATAATGAACATTCAACTTGAACACATATTATAAACACGCTACATATGCTCTTACGGGGTAGTAGCGTCTTCTGAAGTTGTGCCTCAAATTCAATCCCAACAACAGGTTCCTTGTGGAGGAAATGCTGCAAGATGAGAGACTACCATAAAAATGTTTTCTGCGTAGGGAAGACATAAGCAGGATACAAGAGTTCATCGTAGTATACCTGTATATATTCATCACGCAAACTAGTTGACTGCACTTGATCACGTTCCAAGTAAGCTGATTCAATCTCTGACATTATGAGAGCACGGACAATAGATATTTCACGTTCGAAGAATCCGTGAAGGCGTACCCTAGCAACCTGAAACATAACAGAATCGATGAAGGGATGGGAGGGAGAATGAAAGAGAGGGACAGAGGGAGAGGCCACCAAACCTCGAGAAGCATTGACTCTAGGGATGCCAATGTCCCTTTCTCTTTACAAGAAGAACTCATTATATAAGCCTTCAATGGGCTCACTAGGACATCTGCAGCAGCTGAGCAGGAGAAAAATGGAGGGTCCTTCTTACGTGACAATTTGAAGAATCTCTGATTCAGAGCATGTAGAAACATAGATTCTGCAAGCATATCCCTGTAATCTTTCACCGTCTTCAGATCATTTACTGGCATCTTATAGCTAATCATTACTGCAGACTACAAACCATGACCACAAGAGAAGTTCAGGATCCCACAAGTTGACACGAGGGAATGTAGTGCAAGAAGTTTAGTAAGCACAGACTAACCCCAGCTGCTTCTGATTCAACAAAGCAAGAAAATCGTGTTTCTTCATGCGAAGGAATAGGAAATATCGGCATCTCTGGAGGCTCGCTACTTGATGTTTTACCCTCAAAATGCACCTTAATCAAATCAACTACAGTCTAGAAAGAAACCAGAGGAAAGGGTTACAACTACATCCGACCATCAACATGATTATAGTAAGAACACCCACTCCAGAAATTGACTGGACAGGCAACAAAAGCAATAGTGGTTAAGAGACCGTAGTACCTTGGAATCTGGAAAATCTCCAACAGCTATGACTGCCATGTTGCATAAATGGTACCACTTCTGGTAAAATTGCTTCACAGTTTCAGCAGAAACAGACCGAATTACTTTTTCCAACCCGATGGGTAAACGTTCAGCATACTGCAAACAACCAGAATGTTTAACAAAGCATTTGTAAGCCTTTTAGGCTGCATAAATAATTAACAAAAAAAAAAAAAAGCTCAGACCTTTGAGCCTGCCATCATCAGCTGCCAATGTGCATCTTGCATCCTTCCACTGGCATTCCGGGTCCCTCTATACTCTTCCAACACAGCCCCTCTTTCCTTTTCCAAATCTTCCTTTGAGACTCTAACCTAGACAGACCAAGCACAGATAGGACATGGGCAAGAAACATAAACACTAACTGTAAAAAGGGATTTTGACAGACATTCATTACCTCGCAGCTAAACTCTGCTAAAATCGAAATAGCCTGAGATAGTAATTCAGGCTTGTCCACAGGTACAAACAACTCATATATGGTCTCATCGGCTGTTGTCATCGCATTTTGGCAAGGGCCGAACTCTGCTCCAACGCTCTCTAAAAACTTGACGATATCATGATTTGTGTATCTCTTTGTGGCACTAAATGCAAGATGCTCAACAATATGAGCGACTCCACGTTCGTCCTCCTCTTCCAAAACTGAACTGCCAATAATCCCATAAGTCAGCTACATTTCAAAGCACTATATGCACGATCCACTAAACGGCATAATTGGCAGTGCCCAAGAGCATAATTCGACAGAATCTTATCCATCCACGTTGATAAGATAGAAAGTTCACAGAAATTTGCAAAAACGTCGCCAAATACTGCAAATACGCATGCAGGCTGAAGAGCTGGTCATCAAATTAAATCAAAGTTGGGCAGGAGGAAAAAGGGGCAGAAACACAAATAGAAAAGATCGTCAAATTGAATCAATGATTCGACATTAGTATGAGCAAACTCTAAACACGGAAGACATATTCAAAATCAAGTAGACCCAATTCATCGATGAAACGCAAATTAAAACCCAGATTCTCATAAATGACGTCGAAATCGGAAAGGAATGAAGAATACCCGACTTTGACGGCGAGAGCAAGAGCGGCTCTCATTCTGGGTTTCGAGTTGGAGCGGACATAGTAGACGAGGCCATTGTCGAGTCTCCCATAGTCAACACCAAATGGCTCCTCGCTCAGCTCTTGCTCCAAGTCCACGTTCACCAGCTTCAGCGACCTGAAACCATGTTTCTTCGCGATCTTCGAGCTCTCTCCCGCTATCAAATCCATCTCCCTCTCTCTCTCAAATTCTTTCCCAATATCTTTTCCTCACAGAAACAAAACACCAGTGCTCAATTCCTCGGAGAGGAAGAGTAAGTGTAGGAAGCACGAAGCCAGAGGGAACGCCGTGATCCATTTTTTAATTCCTTTTTTTCTCTTAAAAGAATAAATCCTGTACCGGTCCGACCGGCAATTGGCTTCTGGATGATAATCAGATACCGGAAATACCAACCGAATATCATTGCCAATTAAATTAGGAACAACTAAGATTATGACATAGAATTTGAATAAGGGCGTTTGGTCTAGTGGTATGATTCTCGCTTTGGGTGCGAGAGGTCCCGAGTTCGATTCTCGGAACGCCCCTTTTTATTTTTTTCGAATATGGCTAAAAAAATCGACCGATTTGCAGAAAAGCCCCAAACTTTAACAACGTCATAGTCTACCCCGCAATTTAAACAGAATCTGACTTCAAGATGTCAAAAGAACCAGATCAGGTCATTTCGATCCAGCTCATTTTCAGTCCAGTTCGCTAAGTCGTTTTGACCCAACTCATTTTCAGTCTGGTTCGTTAAGTCCGTTTTTTTTCGGACTAGAAAATTTCTAGTTCAATCGAAATCGTTTTAGCTCGCGAAATCATATTTTTCTAAATACATAAAAAAACTATATCAAATTATACAAAACAATATCTAAATGATACATCACATAAAAAGAACATATCAATATATCCAAATCATATTTATGTTCACAATAAGAATCAATGTACAAAAAATCATCTCCAAATAGATCATATCACAATCCATCTATGTACAAAAAAACATTTTCAGATCATAATCTATCCATATACAATCAAATCCAGATCCATATACAAAAAACCATCTTCAGATCCTAATCCATCCATTTAATCAGATTCTAATCCATATATAAAAAACTATATGCAGATCATAATCCATGTACAAAAAAATTATCTCCAAATCAAAATACCATACCAATCAATATCAACACTTTCAAGTTTCAACGTAAGAAATTCTATTCTTTTTTAAACCAACTTGCGAGCCGACCGAGCTAGCTCGTTTGGACTCGATTCATGGCTAACTGGCTCACTCAGCCCATTTTTTATTCGGGTTCAGATATTCTTGACTCGACTCAGTAAAAAAGAATCAACCTCGAATTGACTCGCGAACTCAGCTGGTTTTGACATCCAATCAAGAAGTACTTCTGTTCTATATATTTATACGATCAAACAAAAAAGAAAAATTTGTAATTTTACACTGTTTAGGAGCTCGAGGAGAGAGGGAAGAAGCTCTGATTCCCTCCCTGAAATCCATTTTAGAGTTCAGCACCAAGTCTCACTATGATCGGCAATCCAAGCTTATATGCTCTCTTTGTTCAAATAAATTGCAATAAATCTATAAGTTACCGCAATTATCAAACAGAAGACAGGAAAACGTTATTCAACCAAAAGCCAACATGTTGTGGACAAATATTATTAGACCTATCCGAGTGAAATTTCTCAGCTTCAAAACTTTGTTTAGAAGATACCCACAACAAAAAAAGGAATGAACTTTGCTTTGGCGTTCAATGGTTTGCTAAATGGGTTGGCTTTCTCAAGGGTAGTAGCCGGTGAAAGTGAAGCCCCTTCCAACTATCTCACCCGCACAGAACCAAGCAAAGCATTCCAGACCAAACAGTGCCACGGTTCCTGCTTCTTCAACCGTCACATCTCCTCGGTTCTTCCACAGGCTCTTCACCTGATCGAGCTCCTTCCAGAATGCCTCACAGCGCACTGGAATGCTGCGGTCAACACATGCACGATGTCAGCGACAACAAGGGGCGAGTAAAGTATTGCAGTTTCTACCAAACATATTGAGATGCAACAAAAGCAATGATCAATACATGAACCGACAATCCACAGTACGATTCTTCTCGTGTTTGTAATTCACATGGAGCAAATGGCACAATGACCATGCATTCATGTGACTAAAACACCTGCTTCACAACCCACCGAAACTAGAGCGTCTACCTTTGTTGTGATTCCTTAGAAAGCAGATAAAATTCTCTTTTTTCTCCAACATGGGAACTAAAGATATCTAAGCAAACTGAAATTGATAGCAGAACCAACCAACACAGAACTGAACAACAAAATCAACACGACTATGTGACTCTCACTCTCTCCAGTCCCGAATGTACAACCGTAGGACAAATTCAGAAAACCAAACTACAACTTCCCTTTCCAGCAGAATACTAACAATTACAATTAAACCGTGTATTAGGAAAACAGTAACCCATTCACAATAGAAAGAATAAGAGAAACAAATGCAGCACCGTGCTACCAAGACCGGAACTTTGCAAAGAAACTTTATCCTCCAAAGAAAGATTCGGCCGTTTCTGGATATCTGGCAACCATCCAGATCATTTTGAAACACGAATCAAAGGAATACACATTCAGACAGAGGGCCGAAGATGGAAACCAACCTAGCGAGGCGGGTGTAGAGCAGCTGCTTAGACAACTCATTGCATTTCTCCACAGTAGCTGGCTCCTGGATATACTGTTTGTTCTGCTCCAGCAACTGCTTGTAATATGATGTGCCATGCTGGGAGACAAATTTTGAAGCTTGGCAAGCCTTAGATTGTAGCTGTCTTAACTTTGATGCCATCCCTCAAAACTAAACTCTGAGATACAAAAAAACAACCAGAAAATGAAAGAAAAAAAAACATTACACCATAGCTCATTCAGCTCATAAATTAACAGAACAATAGCCAGTAAGAGAATGTTATATCTTAGGTACAAATTCATCACACTAACAAGAACTGAATGACGATTTGCAATAGAAATGAAATCCATTGTCTTTACGAGTATACTAAGACGCAGGCGAAAAACTCTGACACACAGATATACACATCGCAAAGAGAAGAGGCGCGTTTAACTGCAAATACAGAAGGACCGAGAAGCAACTGTACTACAAAAATGCCGATGGTAAAAACAATATCAGCCTAACCGAACCCTAATTCTCGAAACCCAGTTCAACCTAAATGCGCAAATATTCATGAACAGTTGACCATCATCGACACAAAATCCGATCAAATTCCGCAGCGAAATGAGCGGCGCAAAGACACAGATCTGAAGGTCAAACCCCCCACAACTGGGCCAAAAGAATAGAGATGACGTACAAAATCCTGGTTAAAAACAGATGAAAGGTCGAATCTATAATACAAAAATCTCAAAAGAAATTCACCTTCCGAAAGATCCAGCGACGAAGATTAGCCGCCGTTCACGGAGGGAGAACGCAGTTGGGTCACAGGGATTCTCTGCTTATGCGGGCAATATGTGGGGTTTTGTTTTACTATGCCGAGTTTTTCCCAAAAATGAGGGGCAAAACCGAGAATATCAAAAGGCTGAGGGGCAAAATAAAATAAATATAGCGTTTGGGCCTTAACTGGGCCCAACAATTAGAGAGGGTCTCTCAGGCCCAATTTAATACATTCCATCAATGAAGTTGTGAATGTGATGTGATATCTTTCCGTTGCCAAATAAGATCATGCTTTGGTGTGTGAATGTGTACACGTGAAAAGTGTACAGAAGGTTTGCTTTGTATGCCAGTCAATATAATTTATTAAAAAAAACGACCAATTAAATTGATAATATCTTATTAGGATGAGAAAAAACAACGAAACAAAAACAAAATGTACAAAACTTTTACATCTATCTCCAACCACAAACCCTAATGATTCATTTATCGATATATATACATACTTAATCATTTGATTGTGCAATGAACCCTAGTAGGGCCCCTTAATATAAACCGGAAAATAGAAATAGAAATAAACCGGTGATATTAACAATGAAGCTTTAACATATCTACACATAATAAATATATATATAGATATATAATTTCATCAAATAATCAATAGATTTTGGTGTCATGCCTATACAAACGAATGTTCATGCGTGTATGCGTTATATGTATATATGTGTAGATGTATCAACTATTACCATGTATCATAAGGGTGTCAAACGAGTCAACACAGATCGATTTGGTTCGGTTCACTAGACTTCGATCGTTTTTGTTTGACTCAGCTCGCCAACTCGTTTTCTAATGAGTTTAAAATATTTCGACTCAGATCGTTCGCCAGTTTTCCGAGTTGAACGAATAAGATTGTTGAGTCAGAAACATATAATATTTTTTATTCATATTTATTTCTAACTTAACGATAAATGAAAATAAAAACAAAAAAAACGTATGAAACTTCAATACCATAAACTACATAAGTGTTGATTGGAATTTTAGAAGATAGAAAAAATAATCCAATAATGGTTCAATCAAAAACAAATTAACAAGATAAAAACAATAAAATATATCTTAATAATATTTTTCGTGTTCGAAACTTCAAACAGTAGAGTAGTCTTCTTCATCTTCTTCCTCATGAATATATATACGCACGCATAAATCATATTATAGTATAGTGTCTACATCTAAGAATTGAATATTTGAATTTTGTATATTCGAAACTTTAACTACTTCTTTAGAACCATTTTTTAGACAACTTTTTCAAAAAATATAGTATTCTTTGCAATAATAAGCATGTAAATTATCTCTTTTCCATATTTATACTTTGGTTTTTATTTAATATTTTAGATTATTACTACTATAAAAAAAAAGTCTATTTGCAACGAAATTGAATTTGCAACGCTATTTCGTTACTAATTGGATTTGCAATACTATTTCATTGCAAATTAGCAATGAAATTGCGTTGCAAATCCAATTAACAACGAAATTGCGTTGCAAATTTCTATATTTATTTTTTCGACGGTCAAATCATATTAATTATTAAATGATAATATTTGCAACGAAATTGTTGTGTTGCAAATTGTTGCTAAATTGCAATGAAATAATTTTGATATATATATATATATATAATGCTTTTCTTGATCTAATATGTACATTACTCATTCCAACACAATTTGATAAACATGATGTTTAATATTTGCACTGAAATCGAAAAATCTTGAACATCTTGATTGTTGTCACTTATATATATATATATATTCACGAAGCCAGAGCTTGCCTTTGCGTATCTTTTAGGGATCTTCTTATGCAACATACTTACATAAAAATGATTCTCTGTTATACGTGTGATAATAACACACACGTAAATATATTCACGCGTGAATATTATAGAACTGTTTCAATGATATAACAATTATAATAATGCCCAAATTATGAAAAATTACTGATCCGTGTCGGTCGACGTTGAGATAAGGTTCTTTGTGACACCATATATATATATATGAGTATATTATTATCCTTCTATTTCTTGAAATATTTTTTCTGTTAATCGAATCGATAATATAATTTGTTCCAGCCTTGGAGCCAACCGAGCTTGTAACAGTTTCGCTACACTCGTATGCATTGGCTGTGAAAAAAAAAACTTAATACTACAAATTTTAATAAAATACCCTATGTTATATATATATATATGTATATATATATGCGCGGGTTATTAATAGGAGTCTCAATTTAGGCCAAAAATTAGTGAGTTTTCGGACCTAAATTTAGACCGAAAATCGAACTTTCGGATCAGATTCAAATCAGACTTTGAGCTCGATTCGAGCGGGACAGAAAATCCGATATTTTTCTTACAAAAAAATAATATTTACAAATTAAGAAAACTATGCGGAGTGGCTCGGTCTGACCCGATCCGATTCGAACCCGACATATATAGAGCCAAACTTCGGATTTAACTACATAGGTCCGAAAAAATCGGGCCGGTCCGAACTCGAAACCTTCAAGTCAAGTGCGGGTTCGGATCTGGTCGGACTGGACCGGTCCGATTGACACCCCTAGCTTATTAAGATCAACATAATACTTTATGATAAAAAAATAAATCTTAATAATATATTAAATCAGCTTTAGTTTCGGACATGAGAATGTGAAATTATACCAGCCAACATAGAATCCACTTGGACACTAGATGTAAAAGATACAAGAGAAATATATATATACATAATACATATATGACAGTCTATTGATGCGTACATTTAAATATATACACTTACAAATACATAATACAGGTATAGGTATTTCTCTATATGAATCGTGGGGGAGCCATTAAGTAATAAGAATACGTATACAAATGTACGACCTTTCATATCCCCCGTCATTCCTTTGATTTTCTTTTTCTCTGTCGGCCCCACTAGGTATGGACCATTTCAGGTAAAAGCCCAAATCCTAAAATGGGTACGCCCATAGTATATGGGCCCAAAATGAGGCCCAAATACTTACACGGGCCCATATTCAAACTGGCTACCTAATCCGAAATTCCCAACTGAGGAAACACCTTCTTCTTCGATGACATCATGATATAAGTTATAACGGTCATTATTATGAGTTCATGTTCTGCTTCCGAATTTGATTGAACATCACAATCAACGGTAAAATCATATTATATATATAAAGGTAAACCCATTGAACTTGCAGAATAATTGAAAATTAATTTTTAATAATTTCTCAAATAAATTTATTTCTAATCCAATAAAATAAACTATGTTATTATAATTTGCAAATTTATTAATTATTACAATATTTTTTATAATATTGATATATAAATCCGTTTAAAAATTATAATAATATATTTTGTAAATCTGATAATTATAATGATATATTTTGCAGGTTCGAAAATAAATTTATAAAGTAAAAAGTTTAGAAATTAGTTTTTTTTTAATTATTTTATAAGTTTTAAAATTTTAATGTTATTTATCCTAAATATAAATACAATGTAAATAACTGATTATTCTAAATAGTGACATCGGTAGTAAAAAATAAAAGTGAAATTGATAAATTCTTCGTTATTGTTTTGGGTAATTTTGCCCGAAAAAGGATGTAGTTTTAATGATAATAAATGAGATATAACATATATAGAAAACTAAAATGTAAAATATTCTTCCGTAATTTCTTGAAATCACAACGGAAACGAAAAGGATTATATTTTTGACATTTGACCGTGAGTCACGTTACGTCTCCCGGCGTCCGTGGAGAAATCACCGCAAATCCGTGTGTGAGTTCGAGATCGAGAGAGAGAGAGAGAGAGAGAACCAAAACGAAAATCTGTTCCTTTGCCAGAGAGGTCTCAGGAGAGAGAAAGAAGGGGAGAGAATTATCGGGAGAGGGAGGGAATCGCTGTGCATATAAGCCAAGAAAAGCCCATTTTTCTAGGCCGGGAGAGAGAGAGAGAGAGGCCTTCAGGATCGGTGGTGCTAAAGCAACGGCGGAGACGGCGACTGCCACTGCGACGGCGG